AGCGAGCGAACAATTGTTGGGTTTTTATAATTCTCATTTAGCAAGATTTTTATAAATACTCTCGAACTTGATCTGGTCTGCAAATTGAATTTGTCACGGAAGATTCATCCATTTTACTATTATCAAAACTGGTCGGTACCTACCACAACTACCACAACAAAATCAAAGATTGAAAGTAAGAAAGTTTGACAAGTAATGTTGCTAAGGCCCATTATTTTATGTCAAGGCATGATAGCCTATCTCAACATGGTGATAGAGTATATAGCGTGTACGTTTTCCTGACAATTTCATGGTGTACAGGTACCTGGTGGTAAAAGTGTGAGTGTGGACTGTGGATTTATTATTTCCTCGTGTGTGTATTTCGGGGCACAAATGCATAGTAAAAAGATAAAAGGAACACAAAAAGCTTGGTATTATGAACAAATGGACCTCATTCTTTGTCGAATGAAAGTCCTTAGCAATGTGCAATTGTCTGGAATCGGAATCAGATAAACCACGATTCCATTACTCGTAAAAGAAGGAACTTTTGGTCTCTTTTATGGATAATAGACAGGAATTGGAACTCCATCCAATACTGCGTATCAGAAATTTAAATGGACACTCAACAATTATATATTGTGATTAATACTATAATTCAACAGCTATTAGGACTAGGATTATCACCTATTACCTTAAATCTTAGACCTCTATCTCTGATTTCTACGCTCCAAAGGGGCACAATAAGCACGATCAGTTGTTTTTAGCCTTTTCAAGACAAGTTGTGCGTCAGAGGGCTGAAATGCCTAAAAGGACCCGTTCAAAGGCTTCTGCATCGAAGGGCAATTGGTTTTGTCCATTGCTTTTCCAAGGTGGTGTGGTGCCACTGTATACTAATGAAATATGATTGTAGATTATCATAGGATCAAATCAAACTCAACAAGAACACCCCAAGGTTGGACACAAAGTCAACAAAACCAATTTTCTAGAAATTACTAACATCATGAAAGCATAACAATAAGATGAAACTAATTCCAATACAAACTAAAATTACCACAATCCAATAAAAACAACTCAGAAGTCAATTGAAGAAACACAAATTAAGGGAAAGACATGGACACTGAAATCAACATATCAAAAAAGGGGTAATGGCAACCTAGAGGCCAAGCGCATAATTTAAACAGCCAAAGCATTCACAATGATCTGGCAACCATTTGGTTACTAGTTAGCTAACAAAAAGCTCCCTGCCCTTGTATTGCACCATAACCTTCCTTTTTACACCCACGACCATAGCATTCCAGGCAATCTTTGGAAAAGGTGAGATCAGTTCCAACTCAAAATTTCTCAACAAGTGACTCCATATTGCCTTATCTACAGATATGCAAATGGTTCCCCAAGACAACCATGCCTGCCACCACCAAAAGATATATAAGAGAATGCCCCAGTTACCTTATCTTCTTCTCTCCCAGGAGAAAACCTGTCAGGGTCATATGAATCTGGATCCTTATATACATGTGGAAGTCGATTGGCAAAAGCAGGAGATGTGGCCACAATATGGCTCTTCGAAATGTCATACTCTTTCCCTTCATTGGTTGTAACACTAAAATCGCTATGTGAGCTACGCAAAAGCATTATCAAAAGAGGGTGGAGTCTCAGAGCTTCTTTATGCACCGATACAAGACTTCCATCTCAGACAAGATATCATAATCAACCTTGTTCCCATGCTTTCTCATCAGGTTCTTCTGCTCATCCAACACAACAGTCATGTATTCCTTGTGACGGAGGAGGTATGCCCCAGTCCAGATGGAAGTGATGGAACTAGTGTGCTGACCGGCAAAGAGAGCAGCAATAAGCATGCCAGTGACCTCAGACTCGGTTGTTTGGTGACCATCTTTGTACTTGGACTCCATAAAGCACTATAACATGTCATTTTCTGACTTGCCAGTTTGTTTACGGGAAGCTATAATGGTAGCAAATATATCTGCAAGCTTCTTGCAAGCTTGGTCATCGCGGCGGTGGGATGGGATCCTAAGGTATGGGAAGATAACACTGATGGGGAGCATACCACTATCGAGATCATGGAAGAGAGCCAACACGTCATCAAAGAGCTTATTACGAACTTCTTCACCCAAAAGACATCTACGGGATGTAATGATAATTAGATGCTCTAGTTCATATTTTATGTCCACCTCACCGTTGTTCCCCCATTTTGAGAAGTATTATTGCAAAGGTCAAGTGCAAAGAGAAAGGAAACATGTAGCTCCTAATTAGCACCAAATCTCCTAAAAGAAAACTCACAGTTAGTTATGCAAAAGACAATCTCAAGATCAAGTAATTCCAAGATATAACTAATAATCAACGTAGATATTTTTACGAGTCAGTATCCAATTTTGTTCTTTGCCTTCATCATTGTGTTTGTGGTATTTTTTTGCCTTAATGTTCCCACCCACAGGGCAAAGAGGGATGCTCTTGCCATCACACAAACACAGGCGCGCGCAAACATGCACACATACACTGAGTGAGAGAGAGACACTCAGAAATGAAAGTCACCCTGAGAAATTGAACATGCAGCTTCATAAAGGGTGGGAAGACTAGTGCAACAAATATTAAACTTTGAATTTCCAGATGTGTTGCCCCAGAAAACTAGTATCCATCTTTACTTATATTCCATATCAGAAATGTTGCCTTTATAAAAACTGCCAATTTTCAAATAACTCCATTAGAGTCCTATGGGATGGTGCGAGTCCTAGCCTAGACTAAATGCAAGAGAACCGCTACAATGGAAGCATGAACTGCATTCATCCCTAGATTGGAAACATCTTATTCAATAGAAGATCATTGCAGGAGCCATTCCTAAAGAAAATGATTGAATAAAGAAGGCCAAAGCAGAATTAGCTCGGTAATCTTTGAACCAGAAAATGTGTCATTTCCTTTTTTTATGTATCTATTTTTCAAGATAGGCAGCGATAGTTAAATGATTGTAAAAAAGAAAAGATAGCTAAATAATAGTTAAACCCTCCAAAGACTCTACAAAAGATCTAAAGAAATGAGCTTGTTTCCAAATTACCAAAAAAATTAGGACGACAACAAAAAATTGCATGAATTTGAGCATAGTCTGCTCAGATCCTCCCAAGAGCTCCAACCTAATTCTCCAAATGGAACAATAGGGTAGCCTAGTGCACGAGTCTCCCATCATTGGGAGGTCAAGAGACAGTCAAATGTACGCAACCTTACTCCGAATATAGATAGACTGTTTCTATGACTAGAATCCCTATGATCTTAGCACACTATGATTATGTAAAAGAAAATCAAACATCCATACACTCACATCAATAAGNATGCACACAACCTTACTCCGCATATAGATAGACTGTTTCTATGACTAGAATCCCTATGATCTTAGCACACCATGATTATGTAAAAGAAAATCAAACATCCATATACTCACACCAATAAACAATTAGATATGAATTCCATGACAACTCAAGGAGAATGTCCAAGGATTATGCTATCATAGGCAAGTCACATAACTGACGCACATCACCACATAATTCATAAGCATTTAAGGGGTTGCAAAGAATCACGAATAGGCCAAAGATGCGGACCAGATTTCCAGTAGCATCAAAAAGTCTATTTTATGAGATTATGAGAAATCCAAAATTGAAATGTATACAAGCCAAAATTGAGGCTAGAGCACATTTGGATACAAAAATTTACAAAATCCAACTTCAGTTCATGCCAATCATTCTGTTATTGTGAAATTCTATAAAATTTCATCTCAACTGTAACATTCAGCAGTTAAATTGTCCTTGCACCTAGACCAAACCAAAGATAGCAAGAGAGTAGGGTAAAATGCCACAATACAAAGGAGTTACAACAACCCTACAGCTTGGGGCAAAGATTCTCAATGTACCCAAAGCATGGTTACCACAATTCACTAAATTCTTGAAGAAGTGGGTTTGCAATTCACGTCACCAAAATAAACAACCCTACATTATAATGTNCCTAGCAGACTTGCATTATGTTAATTTTCCATGAAGTTGCCTAATATTGATGTGCTTAGGGGCAACGAGCCTTGGACTTTGTGCTGAGGAACCAAAGACTTATAGACAAAACTCTTTTGTTTGATATTGAACTTGTGAAAATAATTTCAAACTGAATCACAGTTTAGTTGCACCCGCTGGGTGGATAGCACCATCAGAATAACAAAGATGTCTGTCAGTGATATTAAGTCTAATTCAAACAGGTTTGTTTATTGTACACTATTTATAAGTTCTAGTTTTGTCTAGAGAAGTTGTAAGATAACCTTTGTGAGGGAGACATTTTCTAATTCCTAGACAGATAAGCGGTGTAATCAGAGAATTTTTTTGCTTTATTTTTTGCTTGTTCACGGATGACTATATGTATGGCAAGTGACATTTGTGACTTTTTAGCAAGAACTTGAAGTTGTCTGAGATTTCTTCTAAGGCATTGAAACTCCTAAGACTCTCGACTATAAGGCCTTTTGTAGTTGTGTACATGGACAAACGCCTCGATCAACCTAATCAAATTCTTTTTCTTGCGACTGTTGATGATGAATTGACATATGCTCTTCTTGTGATTGTTGATGATGAATTAAGATATGCTTGCGAGCGAGTGAACAATTGTTGAGTTTTTATAATTCTCATTTAGCAATGTTTCCATAAATACTCTCGAACTTGATCTGGTCCGCAAATTGAATTTGTCACAAAAGATTCATCCATTTTGCTATTATCAAAATTGGTCAGTACCTACTAGAATAAAAACAAAGACTAAAGACAGTTTCTGACAAGTAATGTGGTGAAGGCCCATTATTTTATATCAAAGCATGATAGCCTATGTCAACATGGTGATAGATTGCATAACGTGTATGTTTTCCTGACAATTTCATGGTGTGCAGGTACCTGGAGGTAAAAGTATAAATGTGGACTGTGGATTTATTACTTCCTCGTGTGTGTGCGTGTTGTTTTCAGGGCACAATGCATTGTAAGAAGATAAAAGGCACTTGGAAAGCTTGATATTATGAACAAACGGGCCTCAATCTTTGGCGAATGAAAGCCCTTAGCAATGCGCAATTGTTTGGAATCAGAATCAGATAACACCACAACTCCGTTACTTGTAAAAGTAGGAACTTTTGGTCTCTTTTGTGGATAATAGACAAGAATTGGAACTCTATCCAATACTGCGTATCAAAAATTTAAATGGACACTCAAGAATTATATATTGTGATTAATATTATAATGCAACAACTATTATGACAAGGATTATCACCTCTTACCTTAAATCTTAGACCTCTATCTCTGATTTGTCCGCTCAAAAAGGGCCCAATAAGCACGGGCAATTGTTTTTAGCCCTTTCAAGACAAGTTGTGCGTCAAAGGGCTGAAATGCCTAAAAGGACACGTTCAAAGGCTTCTGCATCGAGGTGAACTCCACTTCTTTTCCAAGGTGGTGTTGTGTGGTGTGGTGCCACTGTATAATAATGAAATATGATTGTCGATTATCCTAGGATCATTGCATAAAGGAATCAAATCAAACTCAACAAGAACACCCCAAGGTTGGACACAAGTCAACAAAACCAATGTTCTAGAAATTACTAACATCATGAAAACATAACAAAAAGATGAAACTAATTCCAATACAAACTGAGATTACCACAATCCAATAAAACAACTTAAAAGTCATTTGAAGCAACACATATTAAAGGAAAGACATAGACGCTGAAATCAACATATCAAAGGAGTCATGGCAACCAAGAGGCCAAATGCATAATTTAAACAGCCAAAGCATTCACAATGATTTGGCAACCATTTTGTTACTAATTAGCTAACAGAAAGCTCCCTGCGCTTGTACCGCACCATAACCTTCCCTTTTACACCCACAACCATAGCATTCCAGTCAATCTCTGGAAAAGGTGAGATCAATTCCAACTCAAAATTTCTCAACAAGTGACTCCATATTGCCTTTATCTGCAGATATGCAAATGGTTCCCCAAGACAACCATGCCTGCCACCACCAAAAGATATATAAGAGAATACCCCAGCTACCTTATCTTCTTCTCTCCCAGGAGAAAACCTGTCAGGGTCATATGAATCTGGATCCTTATATACATGTGGAAGTCGATTGGCAAAAGCTGGAGATGTGGCCACAATATGGCCCGTCGGAATGTCATACTCTTTCCCTTCCCTGGTTGTAACACTGAAATCCCTATGTGAGCTACGCAAAAGCATTATCAAAGGAGGGTGGAGTCTCAGGGCTTCCTTTATGCACCGGTACAATACTTCCATCTCAGACAAGATATCATGATCAACCTTGTTCCCATGCTTTCTCATCAGGTTCTTCTGCTCATCTAACACAGCAGTCATGTATTCCTTGTGACGGAGGAGGTATGCCCCAGTCCAAGTGGAAGTGATGGAACTAGTGTGCTGACCGGCAAAGAGAGCAGCAATAAGCAGACCAGTGACCTCAGACTCGGTTGTTTGGCGACCATCTTTGTACTTGGATTCCATAAAGCATTGTAACATGTCATTTTCTGACTTGCCAGTTTGTTTACGAGAAGCTATAATGGTAGCAAATATATCTGCAAGCTTCTTGCGAGCTTGGTCACGACGGCTGTGGGCTGGGATAGGAAGGTATGGGAAGATAACACTGATGGGGAGCATACCACTATCAAGATCATGGAAGAGAGCCGACACATCATCAAAGAGCTTATTACGAACTTCTTCACCCAAAAGGCATCTACTGGCTGTTATGATAATTAGATGCTCCAGTTCATATTTTATGTCCACCTCACCACTGTTCCCCCATTTTGAGAAGTATTCCTGCAAAAGTCAAGGGCAAAGAGAAAAGAATCATGCAACTCCTAATAAGCACCAACTCTCCTAAAAGAAAACTCACAGTTAGTTCGGCAAAAGACAATCTCAAGATCAAGTAGTTCCAAGATATAACTAATAATCAACGTAGATATTTATACGAGTCAGTATCTACTTTTGTTCTTCACCTTCATCATTGTGTTTGTGGTATTTTTTTGGATTAATGTTCCCACCCACAAGGCAAAGGGAAATTGTAAAAAAGAAAAGATAGCTAAATAATAGTTACAAGGAAAATCAATGAAACTACAGCATCCAAATAAATTAAAAGCTCCAAAGACTCTACAAAAGATCTAAAGAAACGAGTATCCAGAGTACCAAAAAAATAAGGACGACAACAAAAATTGCATGAATTTGAGCATAGTCTACTCAGATCCTCCCGAGACCTAGACTACGAGCTCCAACCTAATTTTCCAAATGGAACAATAGGGTAGCCTAGTGCACGGGTCTCCCATAATTGGAAGGTTAAGCGACAGTCAAATGCACACAACCTTACTCCGCATATAGATAGACTGTTTCTATGACTAGAATCCCTATGATCTTAGCACACCATGATTATGTAAAAGAAAATCAAACATCCATATACTCACACCAATAAACAATTAGATATGAATTCCATGACAACTCAAGGAGAATGTCCAAGGATTATGCTATCATAGGCAAGTCACATAACTGACGCACATCACCACATAATTCATAAGCATTTAAGGGGTTGCAAAGAATCACGAATAGGCCAAAGATGTGGACCAGATTTCCAGTAGCATCAAAAAGTCTATTTTATGAGATTATGAGAAATCCAAAATTGAAATGTATACAAGCCAAAATTGAGGCTAGAGCACATTTGGATACAAAAATTTACAAAATCCAACTTCAGTTCATGCCAATCATTCTGTTATTGTGAAATTCTATAAAATTTCATCTCAACTGTAACATTCAGCAGTTAAATTGTCCTTGCACCTAGACCAAACCAAAGATAGCAAGAGAGTAGGGTAAAATGCCACAATACAAAGGAGTTACAACAACCCTACAGCTTGGGGCAAAGATTCTCAATGTACCCAAAGCATGGTTACCACAATTCACTAAATTCTTGAAGAAGTGGGTTTGCAATTCACGTCACCAAAATAAACAACCCTACATTATAATGTTAACCCTAAATCAATTCGCTTTAGAACATGTAGCACAAATATAAAATATATATTAATTGACTACATGTATATAGATTTATAATTATATATTATTTTAGATAATAGAAAATCATGCACAACTATAAAATAAATGATAACTAATTTAATGTTTTGTAATATATAATATTGTATATATTGAGTTCTATCTTATTAGTATAGATTGTATAGTAGTGAAAACGATTTACATAAGAGTACCAAAACAAATTGTCACCCAAAATATGAACATATTCTCGTACCACGTACCAAAACACCCAGGATCCACATAACATTGATTCAAAGAACCAGATGTGGTAAGTTAAAATTAGCATTTGTGGAGTTCAAATTGACCAAAGTAGAGAAGTTCATAAAAAATCCAAAAGAAAAATTGAACGACCAAACAAGAGAGATGTAATACCTCAGCTTCCATAACCATCTGATCCACATAACCCTTCAATTTATTGACTCTCAGAGACTCTGTGAAGAATCTGAACTGCTCTTGCCTTATGGAGTAATCAACATCGAAGACTACCCCAGGCCCGAAAGTGGGCACATTGAACTGGTACACCTCTTGCTGACTGAGATCGGACTCCGACGCCTTAAAGAAATGGGCAGAGACCTCTGGGCCAATGAAGAAAGTGATATTCTTGTTCAACAGATTTAGAGTGAAAACACTCCCAAGCTTGGGGTATTCCTCTCTGAGCATCACCACGGGTCCTTTCAAGAAACGGACCAGTCCGCCAAAGACCGGCCAGGATTTGACAACCGGCGGTAGGCGTTTCTTTGATTTGGGCGTTACAAGTGCCGATACTAGTTTTGCCACGATAATAGTCACAACGACTAGGAGACCAACATTGAAGAACTTATGGTCCACCTCCATGGATTTGTTGGATGGCTCGGATCGAATGGCTTGATTGAACAAAAAACTCTACCCTGTGAAATGGAAACCAAAAAAACAAAAAAGTTAGAAGATACTACAAGTGAGAGAGAGATAATAATTGGACAATGTGGTATAACACTAGCAATAAAGATAGAAACGTTGCGAGTAGAGTTACAACTAAGAAGGGACCACCATGACTAGGGATGTCAGTGGACCAAAGCGGAGGCGAAGGGTGTAGTCTCCATCCTCGTACTCGTTTAAAAAAACTTTGTTCATCCCCGGTCCACCCCCGTTAACGGGTATAATTTTCATCCTCACCCCTGTCCGCAGATAAATTTCTAATCCCCACCCCCGCCTCTGCCCGTTCCATACAATTGATCTATACCTATCTATTTCACCAAGAGTCATTGGAGTTGAGTTGATAGATTGATCTTCATCAATAGAGATTAGAAGTTGGTTGTTTTCACCCGGTGTTGCAAAGGTTTCGGGAGTAACAATATTATTTCTCACTTCTTCTCCTTCCATTGCTTGAAATCTTCAACATATAAAAATCAACTTTCACATAATATAACAGAACATAGACCGGTGCTCACTCCTCACATATAGTTAGGACTTACAGGCACACAAAACCCATTCCCAGGATTCATGGACAGATGTATACAAATATAATCAAAATGAAACAATTCTAACAGTAAAAAACCTTTAGCAATTGCTTAAAACCCATTGCACATAATATTCCTTACTGGCTGGCCAACAATTTTCTATAAAGGCTTACCAACAGATTATTTTGGAAAATAAGTGGACTTTAAAGACAAGTGATTGAGATTCAAAAGAACTATCAGACTTAAAATCAAATGATTGAGCCCAATAGAACTATCAGACTACAAAGGAAAGAATACAAATCTATATGTATATATCTACTTTTTCCAAAATTTGAACACTCAAGTTCACTGTATCATCATTTCACCAGACTATTATGACTGGTAATTCTCTTAAGACTTGAAAAATACTGTGCCCACTTGAGCCCACAAACTCCTTAAAGTAATGAAGAGTCCCGGGTAATTTGATNCATGATCAACCTTGTTCCCATGCTTTCTCATCAGGTTCTTCTGCTCATCTAACACAGCAGTCATGTATTCCTTGTGACGGAGGAGGTATGCCCCAGTCCAAGTGGAAGTGATGGAACTAGTGTGCTGACCGGCAAAGAGAGCAGCAATAAGCAGACCAGTGACCTCAGACTCGGTTGTTTGGCGACCATCTTTGTACTTGGATTCCATAAAGCATTGTAACATGTCATTTTCTGACTTGCCAGTTTGTTTACGAGAAGCTATAATGGTAGCAAATATATCTGCAAGCTTCTTGCGAGCTTGGTCACGACGGCTGTGGGCTGGGATAGGAAGGTATGGGAAGATAACACTGATGGGGAGCATACCACTATCAAGATCATGGAAGAGAGCCGACACATCATCAAAGAGCTTATTACGAACTTCTTCACCCAAAAGGCATCTACTGGCTGTTATGATAATTAGATGCTCCAGTTCATATTTTATGTCCACCTCACCACTGTTCCCCCATTTTGAGAAGTATTCCTGCAAAAGTCAAGGGCAAAGAGAAAAGAATCATGCAACTCCTAATAAGCACCAACTCTCCTAAAAGAAAACTCACAGTTAGTTCGGCAAAAGACAATCTCAAGATCAAGTAGTTCCAAGATATAACTAATAATCAACGTAGATATTTATACGAGTCAGTATCTACTTTTGTTCTTCACCTTCATCATTGTGTTTGTGGTATTTTTTTGGATTAATGTTCCCACCCACAAGGCAAAGGGAAATTGTAAAAAAGAAAAGATAGCTAAATAATAGTTACAAGGAAAATCAATGAAACTACAGCATCCAAATAAATTAAAAGCTCCAAAGACTCTACAAAAGATCTAAAGAAACGAGTATCCAGAGTACCAAAAAAATAAGGACGACAACAAAAATTGCATGAATTTGAGCATAGTCTACTCAGATCCTCCCGAGACCTAGACTACGAGCTCCAACCTAATTTTCCAAATGGAACAATAGGGTAGCCTAGTGCACGGGTCTCCCATAATTGGAAGGTTAAGCGACAGTCAAATGCACACAACCTTACTCCGCATATAGATAGACTGTTTCTATGACTAGAATCCCTATGATCTTAGCACACCATGATTATGTAAAAGAAAATCAAACATCCATATACTCACACCAATAAACAATTAGATATGAATTCCATGACAACTCAAGGAGAATGTCCAAGGATTATGCTATCATAGGCAAGTCACATAACTGACGCACATCACCACATAATTCATAAGCATTTAAGGGGTTGCAAAGAATCACGAATAGGCCAAAGATGTGGACCAGATTTCCAGTAGCATCAAAAAGTCTATTTTATGAGATTATGAGAAATCCAAAATTGAAATGTATACAAGCCAAAATTGAGGCTAGAGCACATTTGGATACAAAAATTTACAAAATCCAACTTCAGTTCATGCCAATCATTCTGTTATTGTGAAATTCTATAAAATTTCATCTCAACTGTAACATTCAGCAGTTAAATTGTCCTTGCACCTAGACCAAACCAAAGATAGCAAGAGAGTAGGGTAAAATGCCACAATACAAAGGAGTTACAACAACCCTACAGCTTGGGGCAAAGATTCTCAATGTACCCAAAGCATGGTTACCACAATTCACTAAATTCTTGAAGAAGTGGGTTTGCAATTCACGTCACCAAAATAAACAACCCTACATTATAATGTTAACCCTAAATCAATTCGCTTTAGAACATGTAGCACAAATATAAAATATATATTAATTGACTACATGTATATAGATTTATAATTATATATTATTTTAGATAATAGAAAATCATGCACAACTATAAAATAAATGATAACTAATTTAATGTTTTGTAATATATAATATTGTATATATTGAGTTCTATCTTATTAGTATAGATTGTATAGTAGTGAAAACGATTTACATAAGAGTACCAAAACAAATTGTCACCCAAAATATGAACATATTCTCGTACCACGTACCAAAACACCCAGGATCCACATAACATTGATTCAAAGAACCAGATGTGGTAAGTTAAAATTAGCATTTGTGGAGTTCAAATTGACCAAAGTAGAGAAGTTCATAAAAAATCCAAAAGAAAAATTGAACGACCAAACAAGAGAGATGTAATACCTCAGCTTCCATAACCATCTGATCCACATAACCCTTCAATTTATTGACTCTCAGAGACTCTGTGAAGAATCTGAACTGCTCTTGCCTTATGGAGTAATCAACATCGAAGACTACCCCAGGCCCGAAAGTGGGCACATTGAACTGGTACACCTCTTGCTGACTGAGATCGGACTCCGACGCCTTAAAGAAATGGGCAGAGACCTCTGGGCCAATGAAGAAAGTGATATTCTTGTTCAACAGATTTAGAGTGAAAACACTCCCAAGCTTGGGGTATTCCTCTCTGAGCATCACCACGGGTCCTTTCAAGAAACGGACCAGTCCGCCAAAGACCGGCCAGGATTTGACAACCGGCGGTAGGCGTTTCTTTGATTTGGGCGTTACAAGTGCCGATACTAGTTTTGCCACGATAATAGTCACAACGACTAGGAGACCAACATTGAAGAACTTATGGTCCACCTCCATGGATTTGTTGGATGGCTCGGATCGAATGGCTTGATTGAACAAAAAACTCTACCCTGTGAAATGGAAACCAAAAAAACAAAAAAGTTAGAAGATACTACAAGTGAGAGAGAGATAATAATTGGACAATGTGGTATAACACTAGCAATAAAGATAGAAACGTTGCGAGTAGAGTTACAACTAAGAAGGGACCACCATGACTAGGGATGTCAGTGGACCAAAGCGGAGGCGAAGGGTGTAGTCTCCATCCTCGTACTCGTTTAAAAAAACTTTGTTCATCCCCGGTCCACCCCCGTTAACGGGTATAATTTTCATCCTCACCCCTGTCCGCAGATAAATTTCTAATCCCCACCCCCGCCTCTGCCCGTTCCATACAATTGATCTATACCTATCTATTTCACCAAGAGTCATTGGAGTTGAGTTGATAGATTGATCTTCATCAATAGAGATTAGAAGTTGGTTGTTTTCACCCGGTGTTGCAAAGGTTTCGGGAGTAACAATATTATTTCTCACTTCTTCTCCTTCCATTGCTTGAAATCTTCAACATATAAAAATCAACTTTCACATAATATAACAGAACATAGACCGGTGCTCACTCCTCACATATAGTTAGGACTTACAGGCACACAAAACCCATTCCCAGGATTCATGGACAGATGTATACAAATATAATCAAAATGAAACAATTCTAACAGTAAAAAACCTTTAGCAATTGCTTAAAACCCATTGCACATAATATTCCTTACTGGCTGGCCAACAATTTTCTATAAAGGCTTACCAACAGATTATTTTGGAAAATAAGTGGACTTTAAAGACAAGTGATTGAGATTCAAAAGAACTATCAGACTTAAAATCAAATGATTGAGCCCAATAGAACTATCAGACTACAAAGGAAAGAATACAAATCTATATGTATATATCTACTTTTTCCAAAATTTGAACACTCAAGTTCACTGTATCATCATTTCACCAGACTATTATGACTGGTAATTCTCTTAAGACTTGAAAAATACTGTGCCCACTTGAGCCCACAAACTCCTTAAAGTAATGAAGAGTCCCGGGTAATTTGATAACAAATGTATGCTGCAAAGTGTTTTCTTTTTGCCAAATATTCGATGTACCAAATGTAAAAATAGGAAGGAAAACAAATAGTGGCCAGCACCTAGTACGAAAGTTTTTTCAGTTTTGTACGAAGAAGCTATCTCAATCTCAAATCCATTTATGCCAAAATCCCCCAATTAACACCATTAGCTATAAGAAAACATACACATTGCAATTAAATCTCGGAAAAATTTTATCTAAGAATCAGTTCCTTTACAACAATTAACAGTCCAGACATGGCAGATCCAGACATAAACGTACCCAAAGATATACACTCAACGTATATAGAGTTAAACCCTAAATCATCACATACAGTAAACAAGACCTCCACTTTATAGATCATTGAAAATTAAGAACATATAGATTCACAAACACCAATCTTTGAAACACATTTACACAAAACCGAAGATTAATATATGGATCTATTCTAAAGAACTGAGATATACACCAATGGGAAACGAATTCAAGAGCTTGAGAGCTCTAATCCGATTATCTCAATAGACCAAGAAATTTCCTGAAAATCTAAGCGAGATATTGGAAAAAAAAAAAGGTAAAAGAAAAGTAAAAGTTGTTGATGCAATTGTACTTGGTAATAGAATGCGTCAGATCGATGAATCACACAGTGAAGCTGCCAATAGTCGCTTTGAGAGGAAGAAACTGTGGAGAGACAGAGTTGATTGCGTTTCTATGAAGATTTGCTTTCGGCTAGGTGATATATTAACACGACGAGAATTAGCCGCCGGTGGAGACGATGGAGAGATAGATGATGGAAAGAGAGAGAGAGATCGTAGGAGAGGAGAGGAGGGCCTGGTCCCTGAACTCTGGAGGTGGAGGCTGGCTGATGGAGGATAGGAGTAAGTTAGTGCTTCAACCTAGATTTAATTATATATATACATATAAAGGTGGGGTGGGGGCGGGACGGGGAAAGTGTCCGTTGTGAATCTATAGGGATATTCTTGTATACTTACACCGTCTAATATGTATGACACATCTCTGGTCCAGCCGAAACAAATATAGAAGAATACTCATTCTTTTCCGGTCCAGTATCATCTCAAACCATGACTATCAAAAACTAGAAAAAAAAATAGAACAAAGGCAAAATCCCAAAAGGAGGAGTAGTGTACAGTAAGTACTTTTTTTTTGACATCTAAAAATTTGAAAATAAAAAGGCCGAAAAGTTTTTGCAGAATGACATGAATGAATTAAGTAAGAAAGAAAAAAAAAAGAATAATTAGAGTGGAAGGAAGAGTTTCAAACCTGATTGAAGACTTTGAGATAACAAAATGATAAGGAAGAACGGACGTTTAACTAGACATTCTTCTGATTTATCGGGGCGTTGAGAAGGTTCAGCACTGGGCACAAATGGCTAAGATCAAATGTGTCTTANGAGATAACAAAATGATAAGGAAGAACGGACGTTTAACTAGACATTCTTCTGATTTATAGGGGCGTTGAGAAGGTTCAGCACTGGGCACAAATGGCTAAGATCAAATGTGTCTTATCTTTTATTATTATTAGGGAAAATTCTATTCCCTTTTGGTTTGCCTCAGTAGTACTTTGTCCCCTTGTTGTTTAAAAATAAGCACGTAATCGCCATATAATTTTGGACCAATTCACACAACTTACACTTTTAACAGAAAAAGTTAAATTACATTAATACCCTCACTATATTCTTCTCCCAATTATCTTCTCCTCCTCATAAATGAAGGAAGTCATATCTGATCATTTAATTTCCTCACTGATTACTACAATTCTACAACTAATGTAAATCACACATGCTCTCTTGATTTGCTCCATTGATTACGTAAATTTGTCTCCCTGTAATCTTGCATTGTAATAAGTCCACATGTTGTAATAGGACTATAAATATTGTTCAACAAATTCATTCTCTCATACATCCTACAAATGACACTGTTAAAATTAAAACCTTCCAATATTGATTGTACTGCTAATATAAAAATCGCATTAAGTAATTATAATTAGAATAATAAAATCCAATCCAACCCCATTTTTTTTCCCTTTACTAGTAGTTTCCAAGTTCACAACACAACAAACAATCAATACAAGAAACACGACTGCAAAAAATTATTGTCATCTCTCAACTAAACCACCTTATAAATCATAGCAAAAACAGTTCAAATCATAGCAACCAACCATGGGCGGAGCCAGCACTAGCCCACCCTGAAAAAAAAAATCAGCTATATATGTTATACACAATTTTCGTATTACTTTTGTTGTGCTTACCCATTGTCTAATGGTGCCCACCCATGATCCACACCACATTGACTCCCTTTTTTTTTTTTTTTTGTCATTCATCTTATTAACAACTTTGAAACTAACCACACAATCAACACTTCGGGACAAAGTATAGGGAGAAAAGATGAACAATGGAGAAGAACCAAGTAGTAACAGTGACTACAATGCCTCACTTATGAAATATGAAAATTTATTGGTATGAATTGTAAATAGTTCCAGTTCAAAGAGAATATTGTAAATAAATTTAATTAATCTCATTTTTTGTAAAAGTTTATAATTAGTATTTTTAATTGTTTTTAATTTATGGGTATGATTTTATACATAGTGTTTTTTTGATTTTTGGCCTTTTTCGGGTGAATTTCTAAATATCAAATGTAATGTCATTAAGCATAAATGTGTAATATTAATTTTATTAACCGTAAGTAAAAGAAAATTAAAACTTTTTATAGTGTCTAAGTGCCCACCTAAAAATAATTTTTTGGCTCCGCTCCTACAACCAACATAGCCTCTTATTTGTTGAAACATAGCAACATCTCGTTAATTTGTTACAAAATCAAAATCAAAATTAATTTTGGGTTTTTATTTTTGGATGTGATTTGGATTTCAATTTTTGATTTTGATTTTGAGTTCAATTTAGAATTGAAAATGATTTTGATTTTCTAGTTGAAATTGAAATTGAAAGTGATCAATTTGGTATGGTGGGTGGAGGTAGCTAGTGGCTGAAAGTGCTTTTGGCATCATCATTGTATGTGGAGGTCGCTAATGGTGGTGACGATTAATTAAAGGTGGCTTTGATGAGGTTGACATTGGGTTTATCAATGGAGTTGATTGCTAGTGCTACTAGTTCTACCAGAAAAAAGAAGACCCTTGCTACTGATTTGAGTTAGGCTAGAAAAGTACCGCTAGTGGTGGTGGTGGTGGTGGTGGTGGTGGGTTTGGCTGGAAGAAATGAAGATGATGATGAGAAAAGCATGGGTCTNCTACTGATTTGAGTTAGGCTAGAAAAGTACCGCTAGTGGTGGTGGTGGTGGTGGTGGGTTTGGCTGGAAGAAATGAAGATGATGATGAGAAAAGCATGGGTCTTTTTGACAAAAAGGTTGAAGAAGAAGGAGGGTTTATTTTTTGCCTTTTTACAATTACTTATTGACTTTGACTGAAATTTTTGGCACAACCACTCTGAAATTGGGCACGTGCACCACAATTTCCGTTAAGTTGTATAGAAATTATAACAGTAGCAACTTGGTCCAGAACTACATGAGGATTATGTGCTTATTTTTGAACCACATGAGAGCAAAGTGCTATGGGGGCAAACCACAAGGGGGTAAAACAGAATTTGCCCTAATTATTATTAGGTTTAAAAAAGGGCGTGCAAGGTGGTGGTGCACTAGAACTGGAGGATAGGTTAGTCTTTTGATTGTTTGTTAATTTCAAGTTGCGCCTGCTGAATGAACTGGATAGTACTGCTCATGGTTTGGCTTGGAGTTTGCGTTGGACTTTAGTTGAGAGAGACAGATACCTTTGAGCTGAGTCAGGGTTGGCTTCCTCCTAAAACATGGAGATTAGATCTGGATTCTAGGAAACAATGTGCGAAGCATGATTTTTGATATAAGGTTTATATTTAATTGTCTAAGAAAAAACAAAAAAGTTGGCTAGGAGCTATTGGGGAATACCTCCAACTTTTCACTCAAATTTAAATTAATATTTAAATAAAAAATTTAATTTGATTTGATTTGATATAAATAATTGTAATAAAAAAATTCAAATTTATAAAAAAGACAAACTCAAATTCAAAAATGAGTGAAATATGAACATTAGATCTTTGAACGAAATAAAATCTCACTATTGATAATTTGACTAACAATTTGAGTATTTCTTGATTTGAGTAAAATTTTGAATGTCTCTCAATTTGGTATGAGTTGGGATATAGAATTGGAGAAGGTTTTTGGACTACTTTTACTAAAAACAAAATTTGAATCTAAAAAAATAAAAATAAAAATAAGGATATTGAAGATGGTATTAAAATGAAATTGTGTTTTTTTACCTCTGTACTATGACAGTTGATCCACATTAATATTGAGGGTAGGGCTTGACGTGAATGTTAATCCAACCCGCCCCTTGTTTCATTGACATTTAGTTAAGAGTAATGTTATATGGATTTAAAAATTATACTTGATAATCTCAACCATTGAATAGGTAGTGAGTCCCAATAAATGTTGGGACCTACAGTGAAATCAATGGTTGAGATTATCAAGTTTAGTTTTTAAGTTCATGTAGTTTTTCTCTTTAGCTAATTATTTATGGCCCATGACTAATTTTCAATTGTATATGGGATGGAAGGAACCAACACACAACCTGTTTGGTTGGGGGTGTAAATGGGATAACATAACAGTGGTCGATTGGGTAAATTATTCCAAAAGTGCCCACAGTAACCTTGTTTGGTTGGAGATTTTCCACAATAACCGTGATTTCCAAGCTCGAGCCCAACACTTACAAAATAACGAAGCTAACCCACCCCTGTCTAGCATAACATGTACCTGTAATCTGCTAATGAATCTTACCATTTGCATAAGTGCGTGCGTCCACGTACCCACCATAATAGGGAAATATTCTTTCAGTTTTTCTTACTATTTTCTATCTCTTTGTTGCAATTTAGTTGGAAGTCATTGGCGAGATGGAACTTGTCAAAGTTGGCCATTTGGATATTTTGCTGAAACTCAAAATGAAATTCTTATTAATTGTCAATAGCCCAATTTTAATGGTCCATTAAATACGAAGAATGGAAAGAAGAAAAAGTGAAAATAATAAACTTTTCATCCTTTAAAGAAAAAAATTATTTTTTTCTCTTTTTTGTTTGGCAGGAGAGAAAGAAAATAAGAAAGAGATGTATCAGATGAAAATTGAAAGGAAAGGAAAAAACATGCATGCCTAATTTACAATTCTACTCTTAAATATATTAAGTAATTTTTTTTTATTATAAATCAATCAAATTAATTTGGAAAAAATTTTAATTAAAATTTTTAATATTGCATACTAAGAAAAAGTAAGACTACGATATCGCAGAGGTACTGTGTCGAAATTGATTTGAAAGAATTAATTTTGTTATGAATGAATTGTAACTATTAATTAAAAAATGAAAAATTAATAAAAATATAAAAAGAATTTATATAGTGATGCATTTTACTAGATCAAAAATGAAGATACAAAACTAAAAGAAAATAATATTTAAGTAATATAACAATTCATTAAAAAAGAATGGTGAAGTTGATACTGCAAAGGATGCCCTTACAGATGTGGCAAACTATAGACATGTGGCTAAAGTTTTTCCCTGTTTTCAAATTCCATTGTATATCTACTTTGCTGGATAGCAAGCAATGGCACAAAAATTTAGGAAGTTTTAAGTATAATATTCATAATGTGGAAGAGTCTGCGTGATTGGGCCCAATGCAATTATTTATAAATAAATTATGTTCGAACTCTTTGTGACTCCTCTAGTTGGACCTAGCACGGTGAGCCATCTTTTTATATTGACAGTTGTGGTTGGTTGCAGTCATGTTTTGTACTTCTTGTACTTTCTTGAATTTATCTTAAATGTTCATATATACCGCCTCTTCTTTCCACAGGTTTCAACCATGCCTAATCAAGCTCTCCAAGCATTTATTGACCATGATACAGTTGCAAGGACAATAGATCTGAATGTATCTGAAGCAGAAGGCATTTATAATGCCCTAGAGAAGTTGGCGATTGACTGGAGCCATGTTGGCTCCTAGCTTGAACTTGAAGGAGTGGATGCTTTCAAAAAGAGTTTTGGCAGCCTGCTCAATAGTCTTCAGGAGAAGGCAAACTCTCAAAAACTAGTCAGCATATAAACCTTATGTTATGTTTGATTACAGACATTATGGCTTTAATAAATTGACTGGGTTCCAGTCCTGCTACAAAGGCTATTGATGAATATCTTATAAAAAGTGTAATTTGAGTAATGGGTTTCATGTAACTTGCATGTAAGCAAGAACTTGCACTTATCCCCTTCTCTATGGCGCTTGTGGAGTGTAGAAAAATTCAAACTAGAATACAAACCAGTTTTGTGATTGAAGAATATAAGTAACCATCACAAGTCGTATCCCAGCTAAAGAATTGTTTGATTTGAATGTCGCTATTAAAATTATATGGAGTGGTTTAGTTGAAGTATTACAAATGAATGAATTAGATTAAAGAATTCAATCTAAGACAACATATAAAAGATAAAATTAAATAAAATATAAGAAAGTTTTAATTCACTGTGAGGTGAGTGGAGTGTATATGGCGAACCTAATATCAACCGTCGGGTGTCCTCCTACATCCTTCACGATCATATCCGCTGGGAAAGCTGCTGCTTCTTCTTCTATTTCTTCTTCATCATTGGTACGTACTTTAGGTTTTAATAACTGTGTTTCTCTGTTTAAATTTGGCTTCTATGTAAAAATGCTGGAAAATTACATCACTAGCTCAGAAAATTAAGTCGTCTTTACTACGTCATTTTCTTAATCCATTGTTGTAATATCTGTAAAATTGAGAGTTTGAACTTCCAGTGGTGGCGCAAACAAATTACTCCAAGATCCACGACGAATAAACAACCGTTGCCATCGAGACATTCCAATAATGATACCACATCAACTCCATGTGGTCAGAAACAATTTCATCTTTTCTTGGAGAATATTATCCTTTCCTTGGTAGAATTTGGAAAATTAATAGGTGTATCTGTCATCGAATTTTAACTAGTCTTTAATCCAGGATGAATTTTTTGATCTAACTGTTGTGCTTCCTGAAGATGAAAAAAGCCGCTTGGATTGTGTGTCGGCCACTTATTCACCGAAGAGAGGTTGTGATGTCTTCAATTGGATTATTAACGACAGCATCCTTGTGGACTGTTTCCCAGGATGCACTTGTTGTGGCTTCCCAATTTGTTGACAGTATTTTCAAAAAATCGGGTTGGGAAGGGTTACAGGAGAGGGGGCTTGGCTGTGACTGTANTTGTGGCTTCCCAATTTGTTGACAGTATTTTCAAAAAATCGGGTTGGGAAGGGTTACAGGAGAGGGGGCTTGGCTATGACTGTAAGGGAACCCTTGCGTAAAACTTTGTTTTGTTTTTGAATCAAAGGGCTAACCATATGTGCTCCATCATATTTATAACATCAAGCATATGTGCTGATAAATTGAGATTTACAGCTGATCCTTTACTATCTTCTGGATTAGCTGCTCTACAATTAGCAATAGTGTAACATCTGATTTTCTTACCACCTAATAATCTAGCACAATTGGGATTGATCTATGCGCCTGGAAGCTGGGTTGGTAGGATGCTATTGACCAGAACCTCAGAACTGCCTAGATCAAAATTAGTTTATCTTTGGATGAGTCCGTTGAAACTTTTCATTTTTGGTTGAAACATATACAGGTTAGTGATTGAAAATCGGCATTCCAATATTTTATAGAATTGTTTCAAAATGTTGACCAAAATGATGTCATTTTCTACGTGTCTCAAGGAAGAGGTGGAGATGGGAACATTGATGGTTCATCACCATGAAATGGTGCTGATTTCAGACTGTTTAGACTACAACGATGTTGTTTCTTGCTTGTCAAAAGGAATGAGATGGTGGTAGAACATTGCTCATTCGTGACGAAGAGATGGTCATGATCACTTCATTTGTATTATTAAGTCCTTAAAATTTTGTAAATTGTAATTGTTTGGTAGTACTAGAAATGACTTTCACATCACACTGACATTTATTTCTGCTTCTCCAAATTCGTGTATCAATTATGTTTAGGGAATAAACATGCTCAATAATCAATTGTGGAGCTTATTGACGTAGTTAAACATATTTAATTTATTTTTCATCACGTTTCTAAATTTTTTTCTTTTTCAGTTTGGTTAGCAAACATTTCTGTTTGTGAGTTGACCTAAATTATAAACCAAAACTTATTTTTTATCTTTGTTTGTAAATTCCAATATAGTCATCATTTTATTTCATGACATCTGTTTTGTTGATTAGTAACTCAAGTTCTTTATCCTGTGATTCATTTATTGATTGAGTGTGCTATGATTTACATGCTAAGTGTGTGCATTGAGTAGTTTTAGTGAAGTTGGACAAATTTTAGTGTAGTTAATCACTATATGCAGCCTATCATAATGGTGACAACTGATGGTTTGTGGCTCAGTGTTTGGACTCACAGTGCCAGCACTTAGGGGCAAGGATTATGGCAAGACGAAGATGCGGTATCCTGATTATGCTGAAACACAATTAGGTCTCCAATATGAGGTCACCTATTGGAAGCACTTTTTGTGAGCCTTGCTAGTATATATACTTGCACAATACTCTCATGCTCTGGCTATGTATATTTTAATTTCCTATTCAAAAAAGTGCTGCACTTGCGCCTAGGAACTGGCCCTATACCAAAGATGGGAGACACAGTGGTGGTAAGCCAACATTTTTTGCACACATGGTTTTCCAATTGAACACTCATACTCATTTGTTGACCAAATTTGAAAAAAAAACAAGTTTTATGGAAGGGAGGATGATGACTGTTTACCATTTTTAGCGAATATGTCATCCACACCCATGTGTATCACCATTTCTTGAAGGACACTACATTATCTAAAACTTGACTGAAATTTCCCATCACACACACACACACACACAAGGGCATATAGCTGCCCTCCCCCCACCCCACCTCCGTGCGGCCCTCTCTGACTAAGTATTCCTCTTTCCCCTCCGAAAAAACACTTCCTTCGCAGACCCACCAACCCACCTAAACTTAGCTTCTCGACTACTGAGTTCAATCCATCCCCTCCTTAATGATCCCATTCCACCAAACCATCACCTCGGATGCACCACCTCCACTCACACAGACACTTCAACCTCTCCTCCCCTGCTACACACACATGAGCACAACCCTCAGTGTCCACATAGTCCTTTGCATCACCAATAAGACACATGTTGGTGATTGTAACCCTTTCCTCTTCCGGGGCACAGAGATCTTTGAACTCTTCCATGTCCCACAGAAAATTTTTGTTCAGATCATTGTTTATCTTTTTTTTGTTCGGCCTTGAGCTCCATGCAAATTCTATCCTCATAGCCTTTACATATTCTAAACTCATGTTTGGACATAAAATACAAAATTACGAAAACATTTGATGCATGGGTTATTGGCAAATCTAAAATCATTAAAGGATTGTCACGTGTCAAGATCTGAAAAAAAGGTGAGAAGTGATCAACCACAACTTTGGTTTGAAAAAGGGAATAACTGCCTAAGAGTTACAAAATCAACTAACTGTCGATAAGGAAAAACCGTGGAAGGGAATGGCTATAAAAGAAGGAAAAGAAGGAAGTTGAAGAATAACTCAAACCCCCACAAGACTCACAATCATGGCATTTAGGATTAGTGCTAGAGTTAGTTTTTAAGAAGTAGTTAACGTTGTAATCAAGGACTATTAAATTAGTCACTCTGTAACTGAAACTCATTCGATTAAATTAATAAAAGAGTCAGCTTTTATTGATTCATTATTTTGTGTGACTATAGGTTTAAGAATTCATCTAAGGAAGTTTTGAAATAAGACATTAGAACCCATTCACAATCAATCACCGGAGAATTGTCTATCAATCATAATCGATTTTTTGGGACAATAATCTTTTGGCACGCCCTGTGGGATATCTGTACTAACTTGGATCAAGAAAGATGGTGTGAACAAGGAAGCAAGACAAGATTCTGTTTGAGACTAACAAAAATGTGGAAATGATACCAGTCAATGGAAATTATGAAGCAAATTTGACTGCCCTTCTTGTGGAAACTGCGAGCCCATTGAATGGCCAGCCCAATGGTCAGGATAGTGTACAAATACAAGAATTTGTGCAAAATCTGAAACATGTATTGTACAATCCCAATTCTGACATTAGAAAAGAATTATTTAATGTCATGCATGACTTGATGAGTGTCTCAACATCAATGTTCAGACTCATCATCCTGTGGTATTCCCTATAGAAAATCAGAGGTCACCATCAATGGTTGCTAATGAGAGACCAAACATTTCGCATCAAAATCAATTTAGCATGTTGTTTGATGGAGAGCCTGTAGAGGTTTTTCCAAACTTCTTCCCAGAGAAAAATCCTAGGGGAAGAAATGGACCAAGAATGGCCCTTGAAATTCCAAGGAGGGGTCGTGAGACGATTACTATGCCTCCATTAGGGCATCTCCAACCCACCTCTCTAAAATAGTTAGCTAAAATATATTTAAATATTACATTTTCTATTTTGGCTACCCACTTTTACAAATTCACTCTAACCACGCTCTCTATTTTAACTACTACTTCATCCAACTTTCACTAACTTCCAATAATTTAAAAGGAATACAACATATATATAGAGAGATAGAGAGAAAAAGAGGTAGAGAGAATTTAGAGAGGTTAAATGGCTCTCCACATTTGCAGAGTCATTTGGGTGAAATGGAAAATAGAGAGTGAGATAAATAGTGGGTTGGAGATAATTTTTTGTGTTTGGTAAACTAAAATAGCTAAAAGAGAAGAAATAGAGAGTGNAAAAGGAATGAGATGGTGGTAGAACATTGCTCATTCGTGACGAAGAGATGGTCATGATCACTTCATTTGTATTATTAAGTCCTTAAAATTTTGTAAATTGTAATTGTTTGGTAGTACTAGAAATGACTTTCACATCACACTGACATTTATTTCTGCTTCTCCAAATTCGTGTATCAATTATGTTTAGGGAATAAACATGCTCAA